TTTTGAAGGCACATCAGTGTGAAAATGTGGGGCATTTTGAAAACTCACATCAACAAAAAAGCAAATGTTGGGGCATGCTAAAACCCCATTTCAATCAGAATCAAGAATGTTGATGTATTTTGAACGTTCATATCAGCAAATACTGGGGCATGCTGAAGGCCCACATCATCATGTGTTAAAAATCATTGACTTGAACATATATTTCCAATGAGACAAAAAGATATGAAGAATGAAAATGGTGAAACAATGACAGTAGAGCTGACTATACATAATTGCTTCATTCATCAGGCAATTGCATTAGAGTCCTATTGTTGAACAAATATTTACTCAGCAAGTATGGTCTCAAATACTCAATCATTGACTGGGTTTTGTTCTCAAGTGGTCTTGTGACATCGTACAAAAGTTTTGAACACTATGAAAGAGCTTCCCTAACCAGAAATCTGAGCAGAAACCACATGAAAGGATGAATGTGTTGTCAAATATTTTACGAACATCTGTGCAGAAGCCACAGGAAAGGATGAATGTGTTGTCAAATGTTTTACAAACATCTGAGCAGAAGCCACATGAAAGGATGAATGTATTGTCAAATGTTTTACGAACCAACGATTTTGGTGTTGAACCAATGTTTTGATCATATGGTTTCCATTTTTATAAAGCATGTCTTATTCAACCCTAAGGTTAGAAGTTAGATATGATGAATATTTCTTTCCACAAAAGGGAAGCGAAAATTTTAACAACAAGAAACTAGTGGAGCCAACTAAGGTTGAATGACAGGTTGTTGCTAAACATCTCGACATGATATGGTCCAAGTTGCCTGGTTCGAGATCTGATTAGATGTGGAGAAATGAAAAGAATTAGGATAAATCTTCCTTGTGATGTGTTTCAAGAGTCAAATTAGAACAAACGTTGCTCTCCTAATTAATCTCTGCTGAGTTTAGCATATCATATCTACATTCTTCAAAGATGATAGATTTTCTTTTCAAAGATGAAAGCTTTATTGGATTTCTACAAAAGTCCAGACGAAGAAAGCCAGTGTTATCAGAGACAAAATGGGGCATCAAGAATGATCAAATTGTTCTTCAGAAATATAACATAAGTTGATACATTGATATATGCAGAAAACCATGTAAAGGAATGATTAAGTGAAGGAAGACCGAGTTCGCCACTTTAAAGTCACATAAAGATTGCATCAACATTTATGCATTCATAAGAACATCATTTGCACAATAGACAATGCATTACATTGAAACATTTGATTGCATTCAAGCATAAGGTTTTTTTTTCATATTTTTGTATGAAAAAGAAGATTCATGATGAAAAATACCTTACAAGAAGAATGTAGAATTCAAAACCTCAAATGAAAAAAATCATGCAAACATCTGAAGAATAGATGGACGCAATCCATAAATGAAGCATTATTTTGAAATGGGGCATGTTACCCAATCAACAAGTTATTTCGGAAAAAAAAATGAGAAAACGATTTCCAAAGTTTCTCATTTAATCTTTTCTGAAAATGAAATTGTTGAATAGTAAGAAAACGATTTTCAAAGTTTATTACTTAGAAAACTATTTCCCACATATGTAAGACCTACAGTGCAGGATGTTTTCAAAAAGCCTTCGGGACCTTTTTGATGTTTTCAAAACCTTCGGGTCATCTGTAAGAGCTTCAGTGCATGATGTTTTCAAAACCTTCGGGTTATTTATAAGACCTTCAGTGCATGATATTTTCAAAACCATCGGGTCATCTGTAAGACCTTCAGTGCATGATGTTTTCAAAACCTTCGGGTCATCTATAAGACCTTCAGTGCATGATGTTTTCAAAACCATCGGGCCATCTGTAAGACCTTCAATGCATGATGTTTTCAAAACCATCGGGTCATCTGTAAGACCTTCAGTGCATGATGTTTTCAAAACCTTCGGGTCATCTGTACGACCTTCAGTGCATGATGTTTTCAAAACCTTTGGGTCATCTGTAAGACCTTCAGTGCATGATGTTTTCAAAACCTTCGGGTCATCTGTAAGACCTTCAGTGCATGATGTTTTCAAAAACCTTCGGGTCATCTGTAAGATCTTCAGTGCATGATGTTTTCAAAACCTTCGGGTCATCTGTAAGACCTTCAGTGCATGATGTTTTCAAAACCTTCGGGTCATCTGTAAGACCTTCAGTGCATGATGTTTTCAAAACCTTCGGGTCATCTGTAAGACCTTCAGTGCATGATGTTTTCAAAACCTTCGGGTCATCTGTAAGACCTTCAGTGCATGATATTTTCAAAATCTTCGGGTCATCTGTAAGACCTTCAGTGCATGATGTTTTCAAAAACCTTCGGGTCATCTGTAAGACCTTCAGTGCATGATGTTTTCAAAAACCTTCGGGTCATCTGTAAGACCTTCAGTGCATGATGTTTTCAAAAACCTTCGGGTCATCTGTAAGACCTTCAGTGCATGATGTTTTCAAAACCTTCGGGTCATCTATTGGACCTTCAGTGCATGATGTTTTCAAAAACCTTTGGGTCATCTGTAAGACATTCAGTGCATGATGTTTTCAAAGACTTCGGGTCATCTGTAAGTCTTCCGAGCAAGATGATATGACCTCCGGGCCATTCTTAAGACCACTGGGCAGAATGTTTTCAACATTTCCCTCCTAATCAATAGACGTCAAATGAAAAAATTATTTTCTTTTCGTCTTTTCTCTATTCTTGTTAACACAAGAATGAGCAAAGAGGGGCAGCTGTAGACACTAATTTTTTCATTTTACTTTTATTATTATTATTATTATTATACATTATTATTATTATTATTATTATTATTATTATTATTAAATAAAAATACAAATCCCGGAGCCCAATAACCCGACCCAGTTACAACCAAACCCCAAGGCCGATTTACAGCTGGCCTAGTAGAAACCCTAAACTCATTCAGGGTTTCTACTAGGGTTTCATCACCCAGGGCCGTCGTCACCTTGGACCAAAGGAATCTTCCAGCCGCCTCTTCACTGCCGACGCCTCCACTGCCAGGTGCTCCACTCCGACAATGCCACGACGACACCACCTCGCCGAAGACTCTAGAAGCGCCATAAAGCCGTCCACGTCGCAGCTATGGGGTGAGTCATCACTATAGTTTGGTGACTCACCAAACTCGACCCTTGTACCTGGTCCGACGAGAGCCTCATCGAGGCTTATAAAATCCATCAACACCTACAAAGAGAAGACATAGAGCAAGAACGAGGAACAACAACCACGACAGCGACCAAGAGTAAGAAAAAGGACCAATGGTAGAACCACAAAGAACGAGCAGCAAGCACAACCAACAAACACAACAACCAGAAGAAAAATAAAAAGAGAAGAGAGGAACTTACCCTGTCGTCGGAGGCCTTCGAAACGTCGCCAGAGAATCGAAAATACCGAAGGTATTTTCTTAGATCTAGGAAATTCTAGGGATTTTTAGGGGAAATGGATGCTGGATTCGGCGGTGGTGACCGGCGCTGGAGCATAGCGACCAGCTGGTTTCTGATATCCCTCCGGGCGGAGGTTTTAAGAGAGAAATGAGAGAAAAATTCTCTCTCTATTAGAGAGAGAAGTAAAAACCAGAGAAATGAGGAAGATGGCTTAGGGGGAAGTCGGTTTTAGGGTATTTATACCCCTCCCCAAACGACGTCGTTTTGGGGAGGGGGTACTTATGTAATTTCCCATATGGGAAACCCTTTCCGCAGCCATCACATATTTGTTTCTTTACAAGTTAGTCACTTAAATCAACTTTCGAGCCTTTTAATTCGGTTTTCTAATTTTTCTTTTATAATTTAATCAATGCTTATATATGTATATATATTTAGTGTAAAATATCATATTTAGTCCCTTAAGCTTTAATAATTTTTATTTTGATCATTAATTAATTAATTAAGGACAAAATACACTTTTAGCACTTAGATTTATGACATTTCGAATTAGATCCTTTAATTTTGATATTTTACACTTTTAACCACTGATTTTCATAATTTTCATTTTTGTTTATCAATTTTTATATTTTGCAATTTAATCATATAGCTTTTAATTCCTTTGACTATGTAATTGCAATTTATTTTTTATTACCTTTTTGCTTTCGATATGTTTAAATTATTACTTTAATTATTATTTTATTATTATTTTCATATTAGTCATATATATATATATATATATATATTTAAATAATAATATTTATTTATTTTTAAATATTAAGAAAGGGCAGTCTTAATATAACTAAATGTCATATTCTGGTATTTTAAAAATAATAAATATCATGTTTATAAAAAATATATATATTTGCTTTAATCTTATATAAATTATTTTAATCATATTTTTAATATTTATTTATTTTTTAATATTAAGAAAAGATAATCTTAAAATAACTAGATGTCATTTTCTGCTATTTTTAAATAAATAAATATCCTACTTTTATAAATTATATTTTTTAATTATTTTTAGAGAAATGTTTTATTAATATTTATTTATTTTTTAATATTAAGAAAGGGGTTGTCTTAAAGTAACTAAAAGTCTTTTTCTAATATTTCTAAGTAAATAAATATCTTATAAAAATATATATATTTATAAAAATTAATATATTTTCTTAGAATTATACTAATAAATTTGAAATCACGGGATTATGAATTAAATTCATATTCGAATTCTTAAATTCTACTATTAGAGACAATTTATAATCGATAGGGACCAATTTTGGGCGTTGTGGGAGTGCTAATCATTCTCCAAAGGTAATCGACCACAAATCCCTTTTTATTATTAAAAAGAACAAATTTTTGGTTAAACGCAGACCAGATTATCTTTTAACTGATATTTTCTTAAAAACTCTTTTAAAAGATGATTTTTAGATATTCGAACTACCTAATCAGAAAGGCTGATGACGACTCCCAAAACATTTCTTTAAATAAAAATCATTTATTCAATTTATCCACATTATTTTTCCCGCCAAGTAAAAATTCGTGCCCGGACAAAAACCGGTTACGACACTAGGTTAATCAGGCACCATAGATTGAGTAAAAGCAGTAGCCACTCTCCAACAAATGAAGTAAAGACAGACTCCTTACCTGTTTGGAGATTGTCATCGGTTCCTTTTATCGACTTTGATATCAACCGGTTCAAGGCATTGAATGTCATCGATCGAGTGGACACGCTTCAAAGTCTGTAACTATATGTTGAATCATGATTCATAGGCAGGGGCCTTTTACTTTTGCTTGTGTAGAAGCTCATCTGCTGCATTTTCACATGTCGGGTGTTAAATAGGTTTGCGATTGGCTATATTTTTGGCGAGTATACGAAGTGGGTGCTGAGTGATACAAGCTATTATATTTCTTACATGTGAGAAATGTAGGATGGTGGATGCATTTGTTCAGAGGGGAAATTAAACTGATCTCAAGACAATACTTTTCTCTTTAGTTCTATATGTACAGAATATTTCATCATTTTATAATTAATTATAAATCTCTGCTATTTTTTTGATACCAACTCCCTGTTGAGAAATAATACTTTGACCCTTCATTACAATGGGATTTGACAGTGACAGTTAATTCATGCAATAGGCAGGGTTTCAAAAAACGGTTTGCGACCGCGATTTCGGCCACGATATAACAGTTTCGCCACTGTCCGAGTTATCCGCGACGGCCGCAATATTGCCCACGACGGCCGCAATCACGGCAAATCCAAAATAACCGAAAACGCGACCGTGATTTGAAACCCTGGCAATAAGTAAACGAATTTGCATCTTACAACATGATTTTGAGTCCCCATATTCATAACATTCGATAAAGATGTTGAGAGTATTTTCTGCTTCCTATGGCTATTCAGTGTCAGCTGTCCTCTGTGCAGAAGAATAATAATGAGATTCAAGCTCCTTGAGGCTTGCTGCAGACTCCTCTCCGATCCTGGCTAACATTCGATCTGTTTTTTCTGCTTGTTGGTTGAACTCGTTAGTTCTTTGCTCGACATGGTCGTTAAGTGATGCAAATCCAGAAAAGATTGCCGTCTGCTTCAACTCAGACACCAACTTAAGCAAAGAATCAGCTGCCTGGACCTGCAGTTTGTGAAATAGTAATGAAAAATGTAGATTATAGACCAAGTTAACTCCTAATAGGTTAGAATTGTATTTCAGTTGTACCCTCTTTGTAATCTGTCTATATTAAGGACTAAACTATGTAATCGAAAAGTATGAAATAAAGAACCAGAGAACTCGTCTTCTTCTCTATTTCAAATATCTTCTTAAATGTTACATGGTATCAGGCTAGGTTTAATAAATAAACCCTTTGCACGATGACTCCATCAACATCATCGGAAATCAATTCAGGATCTAAACAAAATCCCTTCCCAAACCAAAATTGTCGACACCTCACTTATCCCCATTACCAGCCACAAACTAAATGTCCACAACTAGCTTCCTTGGTCCCAATCAGTCCTATACATCTCGAGCAGAAGCAAGGATGACTACCTCTATGTCCATCCCAGAACAAACAGACAACAAATATCGATTATGGAGAAGTGGAAACATGCTCACGTCCTGATTAATTAACTCGATGACACTGGAAATAGGAGAAAATTTTCATCTCTGCACAACAAGAGAGATCTAGGAAGCAGTCAAAGAGACATATTCCAAATCAGACTATCTCAGAACTTTTTGATATTGTGCAATTTGAAAAAGTCATTAGATGGCTTGAAGCAGTCACCTAGAGCTTTGTTTGACAAATTTACCAATGTTGTGGTTAAATATGATAACAAACTGTCATGCACAAAGGAGAAGAGATAAGAATCGGAGCAAGAGAATTGGGGAAATCAGATAGGGTTAGGGATTTGGAATTGGGAATGAACCTGACATGTTCTACAGCCCACTAAGGATAGGAAACAACTTGCTTATCTGTGTAGGTTGTTATATTCAGTACAACAGGGACTGCCAACTGTAGGGTAACTAGGGGTACACTGTAATTATATAAACCATGTACTAGAGGAGGAGATGGCATGCTTTTGATTGAATGAATTCTAAGCTTCTTGAATCTTTTCTTTTCTCTCCTTACTCTTAATTCTCTCAATTCTTCGTCTAATTTATTCTCTAATCTCCTAGGGTCATAACACAAACAGTGTCAGTCTGATCACACACTTTTCTGGAAGGTGTCTCCGAAAAAGAAGAGCATTATAATAGTGTATGTGGATGATAACATCATAAATGGTGATGACACTAGAGAAATCAACAAATTAAAAGGTTTTTCGGCTGCTGAATTTGAAACTAAAGACATTGACACTCTTAAATACTTTTTAGGAATGAAAGTTGTTAGATTAAAGGCCGGAATAGTAATCTCTCAAAGGAAGTATATAATGGATTGACTCACTGAAACTGATATGTTGGGGTGCAACCCAGCTGAGACTCATATAGATCTTAACTTAAATTAAGGGATGACATGATTATAGTAAACAAAGAACAGTATCAACAGCTTATTGGTAAATTAATTTACTTGTCACTCACCAAACCAGACATTGGTTTTTCAATGAGTCAACATATGAATGACCCTAGAGAAGAACACCATGAAGCTGCCAACAAAATTAAGAAATACCTCAAAATTACAGTTGGGCATGGTCTGCTTTTCAGAAAAAAGTGAGAACCACAAGGTAGAAATTTTTGTTGATGCTAGTTGGGCTAGAGAATTGATCGACAGAAGATCCACAAGTGGTTATTACTCATTGTTTGGGGAAATTTGGTTACATGGAGAAGCAAGAAACAATTTGTGGAGTCAATAATCAGTATCGAAGTAAAATTTCAAGCACTTGCAATTGGGATTTGTGAGGGAATATAGATACGAAGGTTATTACAACAATTGGAGTTGGACTTCAATGTACAATTTTGAGGTATAAAGTGATAGCAAATCTGCCATCAGCATAGCGAGAATCTTGTCCATCATGATATAATAAAAAATGTGGAAATCGATAGACACTTCATCTCAAAGAAGGTCAATAGTGGTTCAATGAAGTTGATTTATGTTCCTACTCAAAAACGGCTTGTTGATGTTCTCACCAAGGCCCTTCCAAGATAAAACTTTGATGAACTCATATCTACGCTGGGATTCTATGATAAATACTCATCAGCTTGATGGGAGTGTAGATTGTATCCATATGACTTAATTATTAGAGTTTTAGTTTGTACTCTACATCTTATCTAATTAAAAGATTAGATAGGATATTGACTAGACTAAGTTAACTCCTAATAGGTTTCTAAGTTAGAATTGTATTTCAGTTGAACATTCTTTTTAATTTGTCTATATGAAGGACTAACCTATGTAATCAAAAAGTATGAAATCAAAAATCAAAGAACTCATCTTCTTCTATGTTTAAAAAATCATTCTTATTAAATTCTACAAAGAACAATAACAATGAAAAAAGACTATAATGAAGATTCATGAATTGTGGATTTAAATCATCTAGGTACTAGACTTAGCGAAATCTATGTACAGTTAACAAATGTTAATAAAAGGATTTTCTCACCATTCTGGCTGCACGCATCTCCATCATGAAAGTTTCTTGTGAATTTCGAACTGGAGGGTCATTTACCTACAATGAGTTGCAGCTATGTTATTAGATTAAAGATAAATATACCAACAATGGAATGACTCGTGGTTCCAAATCCCGGAAGAACTCCTCATAAGAAGCCAATTTCTCAAAATTTTGTTCCTTGAAGCATCCCCACTGATATACAGTACATTTACAGAATCCACTTAAATCAGTTCAATATTTGGTTCGATCTTAAAGAAAATAATAGTTCAGTAGAGTACATATGTCTTAACCTATAGAACCAGAAAACTAAATCCCATCAGCGAATGAGAAATTACAAAAATAATCAATCACAACCTTACAATTTGAACGCAACTTATCAAATAACTTATATTACCAATATATGAACTCTAAGACAGACTACAAAGCATTGTATAGACATAGACAAGGCAGCTTAAAACCATTATATGCCGCACTGAGCAGGGGCCTGCAAATGTTGTTCAAAACTGAAGAAAAAAAGGCAATATAAAGGAATCACAAACTTAAATTGGACAACATTGAAAGCCCGTTTTAATGAACTAGGAAATTACCGATACAACCTTGATTTTAAAACTTATATTGGACAAAACGATTTCCTTTTTGTTAAAGAAAACTCTTAGCTTCCAAAGAGAATAATGCTTCCTTAACAGAGCTATCAACAAACCCGCAAATTAATCCCTAGACGGATGCAACAACAAACAAAACAAGGTCAATAAAATGAAAAATAACTAATGGCAAACAGCCTATAGTGGATCTTGTTTCATTTGAACTTTCATCAGAAGGTATCAGTCTAACAAGCCAAGTTTACAATAAACACATCATTTCATCATGGTAGGCAGAATCCGACAAAGATTTTAGTCATTTTACATCGAAACAAACAATTGATCTCACAAATGATTAATCAAGACCCCAACCCATCACCAAAATGACGTGCTTTTAATGATTAACGAGAATGTTTCTCCCTAACCCACACTCCTCATCACCAAATTAGCAAGCATTAGTGAGTTTCTCTCTAACCCCTGAACTAAGATGAACAATATATAACCTGGCAAAGTTAATCTTAAAATCATATGGAAAAGAAAAGGGAAGAAACATGAATCAGCTAGCAGATTATATTCTCATAGCAAGAAGTTAAATGATTAATCAATTTAAGAAAAAGCATATCTTTTCCAAAATGATGGAATTCTGTAAACGACTAAAAAGTAAAAGCTTTTAATAAAGTTAAATCTGATCCTACATTTGAAGGGTACCCATTTCCCATCTCTAAGTTGTAAATACGAAACCAGAAACAAAAGGGGAAATCCATTTAGGGGAGTTTAAGAAATCTGTCATAAGAATCTTTAAACTTGAAGAAATTGAAGTGATTGCCTTGAAGTGAAGAGAAATTACCCGGGCAACATTAACAAGCTGGGTGAAGTTATCGACGATGTTGGCGATGTCGGTTTCCACTCTCTGCATCATAGTTTTTTGCTTCTGTGCCGCCGCCGCTGCAGCTGCCGCTGTGGGCCCGGTTCCGACTCCCGTTCCTTTGTTCATTGATGCAAAACTTTAAGACCCTTTTAACACAGAGAAACACAACAGAAGATGGCGAGATTAAAGAAGAAGAGGAAAAAAAATTGAGAAAGGTGGGATTAAAGAAATTAGAGGATATGGAAAAAACTTGCTTTCACTGGGAAATAAATAAATGAAGAAAATTAAGGAAATTGTTTTGGGCTCTACCTCCATCTTGGCCCGTGTAGTGATGGGCATGGGTGGGTTGGGCCCATTTTTGCCTGTCCCGACCCCAACCTAAAAATATTTTCCTTATATTCAATCCCGTCCTGCCCCGAGCTTTTCTCCCATCTTGATCCTATCTTATTGTTTTTTGTTAAAACTCCTACCTCGATCCGAATATA